CCATAATTACCTTATATATAAATATACCTAATTTATATGTAAATATGTAGAATTAAATAGCAGTTAATATTCTTCACTTGACTTTGGTTTGTGTGTGTCTGTTATTAAAATAATATATTAAAATAATATATTTATATATAACTTAATCACTTGTATAAATAAAAGCTCTGTTATGTCGTCGAAAAATATCCATTTTGTTCGACAATAAAGCGTTAATATTTAAAACAGTTTAAAACAGTTTAATATTTAAAATAATATCCCAAACATATTTTGAAGTTTTGATAATTGAGTAAGTTGTTTTAAACCGTTTCCTGTTCAGATTAGTCCTAATAATATTTCGTTGAAAATTGAGAAGCAGTGGTGTAATCACTAGTGCACTAATATTTATTGTATCAACATTGGTCTCATACCTAATGTTGATCCACATTTCAAAGATTACGAATAAATTTATTATAATATTCTGTATCGTATACTATACTATACATTATGCAAGTCCTAAGAACACATAGTTAGAGCCATTTAGATCACCGTCTATTGCTTGGTTATCAACGCTAAGGAAACCGTTACCGTTATCAGAACATGAAAAACTGATGGTTTCGGATAAAAAAAATATTTTATTTAACGGATTAATTTACTTGAAATGATTATTCCAATACATTACCAAAATACTACAAGTTTTTGTTGGAAATTACCACAAATTTATTAATCTATCTTGTTTGATAAATTTTGTATATTTTAGTATTTTTTCAGTTTTTCAACAAGATTCTCATAAGAAATGTATCATTATTTCCCTAGACTAATGAATATCTCTAGTTTGTCAAATCGATATTTACCATTTATCTTTTCAACAACTTTTTCGATATAAACATACTGTCGCATAATCCGTTATTAATGTCCCCTGTACTATTACAGTTTAAATATCTATATCTAATCCGTATAAATATTTCCGTGACTCTACTTGAGTTGTCCAGTTTCGCGCACTATTTTGAAGTAAATATTACAAACAAAATATATATAAATGATAATTAATAAGATTTATAGCGATGAACTAAAAAACATTTATTGGACCACTCACAGAAGAAAAATATAATCAGGATTTTTCAATCCAAATATTTGTTATGTTTGCAAACGTCCCAGCCGAAACTTGATAACGTGTAATCTCTGCAACATGATTTTTTACTGTTCCCAAGAGCATAAAGAGTTGCATAGAAACTCACACTCGGAAATTTGCATAGCAGTGGCAAGGATAATAACAGACAAATCTTTCTCGGATACGTATTCTAGCTTGGAACATTGGATAGCATCACGGGACGATATTTTACAACGAAGCCTTGTCTGTCACGTTGCGTATACCAATACGAAAAGGAGATGATATTATGTGCAAAGTCATGTTATGCGTGTTACCGACAGATAAACATAAGTCCTTGCAATACTTGCTATTCAGCCAATTTTTGTGATGACCAAATAGAATTTAGTGTATAGGAAGGACATGGGAAGAACTGATGAGAATTGGACTCATTCTCTGCTTCTAAAGGTTTATAACGTGGGTCTAAAAATTGTGCCAATTGGTAGACACTCACGTCATTCTCTAAAGTCTCGAACCTACTTTTAAGGGAACAACGCGCAGCCTCTTTAAACAAGCGAGTCCTGTAATTTTCGCTAAGAGAGATCGCCATGTGTTTATCCATGATCCCTTGCATTATAGGTCTCACCATGGATAGAGTGGGTTTACTCTCGCTCCATAGTAGTGGTCAGCTGGAAAGGCTTCGAAAGTTTCATCAATTCTTCCATTGATACTCAATTGCTCTTTATAAATTCTAAATTTTTAGCAACTCCGCGTTTTGTTACCTTCGTATCTGCTAATAATAAAGCAATTGCACTGCGGTTTTGTAAGAGGCCTTAATACATGTAAAAATTTGTATTCCAGTGCGTCAAACAGTAGCTTACTAACATTACTTTAGAAAGATTGTGTTGATTTTGTCTTGCTATTAATTCTCTACTGGCTATATTTGATTGTCTAAAATGTTTAGAAAGTGCTTTATCTTTCACAAGTATTTCGCCGTATCTCGGAACGGCACTGAATCTTTTACTACAAGTTGCGGTAAATACGCCGCACAATTAAGCTGTCCGGAATATACGAAAGAAATCTTCCTGCAGCTACCATAGCATCAGCGCTGTCATGTATCACAGTCTGCACTTTTTCGTCCAATCCCCAATCTCCTATCGCTATGACTACTAAATCCGCTATATTTTGCGCCGTTGGAATGTCTTCCATTTCCTCATTACATAGTATCGCATGACCACTCGTAAATAGTTAGTGATACGTTACTGATTAAAGACAGTAAATTTTCTGTTTTCTTCCGTACTTCAGCATAAAGAAATTGCAGACGTATCTTGATGGTCTCTGCACAAGATACTTTATATTCAGTCTCTAACATTGCTATAAATTCTTTGAAAGCATCAGAGGATACCAAAAATACTGGTAGCGTACCGCAAGCGATTAATTTTGCAATGGCTTGAGAAATAGTTTCTTGTCTTCCATGTTTACATTGCTTTTGTGCATCACCACATCTCATTCTTTTTCTAATTTGTCCATTAAAGTTGTCGATGTTGACGCGCCATTTGAGAGTCGAACACCGCTATATAAAAACGTCACAATTTTAAAACTTCTTATGAAAATTCAAACAAAATATCTTTATATCCCTAGTAGAAATCTACGCAGTTTTACTAGACACCTAATTAGTTACTATCTAGTATTACTGCATTTCATAGTTGTATCGAAACTGCGCAAAAACTGGAAAGGAACTGAACATAGTTTTTTAAGTTTTATATCGCAACACATGTGCATGATAAAAATTATGTTTTATAGGGATGATCTTAAAACTATGTGAAGCAAAGCTCGGCATAGTTTGCACATTTCGGCCGATTCTCGGGAGCTAGGCTTTCTATCTTCTCCTTGCCGCTCGGCGGGCTATATAAGTGACGGTCGCGGCCAGTCGCGGCTCCAAGCTTAGAAGCACGCTGTTATTAATCCCTATTGATTTATTTTGTACTAATTTATTTTTAAATATTTAAATAAATTTTGAAACCTGGACAACGAGATGTGTGTGTGTGTGTGTGTGTGTGTGTAATCATGCATTAATAACTGCAAAGTCAATATGTTATTTGTAGAATAGAGATTGCGTGCAAGATCTAACCTAATAGTGTGTGTATTAGTGTGTCTTCCAGAAAAATTTTTAATAATATTTTTCCATAATCTAAAACCATACATACGTCTAATGACTTATGTCTCTTTCCAAGGCAATACGGAAATTCAAAATCGTCTATAAACTTTGGTTGTTGACGCAAAAAGTCTAACATTGATAGATCTTTCTGTTTGGAAGTTGAATAATGATAAGCCTGTCAAAATAGTCTAATAAAATAACACTTTCGACTATATATATACGCTGCTGTTGTTATAAATCATATACTATTAATTAGTTACTGACTAGTTTTAATTACTTTTATATTTCATATAGTTATAAGTATATGTTGATTTGTTTAAATAATTGAAAGCTGTTTAAATTTTTTTAATAATAATTTAGAATGTTGCATTTTAAAATTGTTGTTGTGAAATTATTTCACTAATTAATTCGTCATGTTCCTTTTAATAGAACATGCGTAAAATTACAATATATGAGAAAAGGTTACGGAGTGGTAAGTATTTCATCATTATAAATACGCAAAGATTCTTTTGGTTCTAGGGAGCTTAGATGCAATAAAATAAAAGGAGTGGGAATGGCCATGTCCGAAATTGCTGACCCAGTAAACTAAGTTATATTAAAGTTCTAGGGAGCTTAGATGCAATAAAATAAACGAAGTGGGAATGGCCGAAATTACTGACCCAGTAAACAAAGTTATATTAATGTTACGTAAATGCAATGAACCGAATGTTACAATATTGCATAAGTGTTTCCTGTAACTTGCTGATTAGTTATAATTTCTTACTCATCAGTATAATGATAACGTAACATAATGATGTTATATACTAGTCATGTATTTTAACATTATTTCTGTTACATTACAAGTATCTCTGTAACAATGTTGTATTTTAATATTCCTGCATATATTGTTGTAATATTATGCAAACAACCTATTTGTGACATTTTTATAACATTCATATAATTGATGTTATATTACTTTTTATGTTACTATTGTTATACAAGTACTAGATCTCTGTTTATGTTCATATCTCATGTAATACATTGGATATAATATCATTAAAATTAAGTTCTTATTATCTTGCGGTACAAGAAAACATGTACAATAGGCAATTATCGAGTATCGCTCAGTTAAAAACACCTATCTATAGCCCGCCGCTTATAGCTCTATGTTATCATCTCGTTTTTTCCAAAATTAAATCGCGGCAATTTTCTAGTGTTATATATGGATGGATTTGGTATTCGATGCTCTTCATTTTTGTCCTAACAAAGAATTAAAAATTTGTAAAGATAATGAATGGGGGAAGGATGGTTCAAAATTTATTTATTTTTGCAAAATTTTAGTATATCGTTGCAAAGAGTATAAAACCTTCTACCACTCTTATATAAACCATTTTTGTATTTTAGAAAATATTTGCTAAAAATGAAAATGTTATGTTTTTTCGAGGGATGGGTTCAGCCCCTTAAATGAAAATTTAGCATAAATAAAGAATAGTTTTATGTTGTGGGAGTACTATTCCACTTGCCCACAATGTTTCAGAATTTTTGAAGTTTTAGGTTGCCTGTGCTCCCTTGTGTGACTAAGTGTAGCATTTTGCTTATTACGCATCCTTATCATGTGAGCAGAAAGCTTTTCTATGTTATATTTACTGTTAATCGTGGAAAATAGTGTAACAATAGGGTGCGATACATAACGGATATTATTATACAATCGTATAAATACTTCCTTTCAAAATGATATGAACTACAGAAGATCTTTTACAAGATCGGGAAAGAAAAACATAATACAAATTTACTATCTATGTTTCTAAAAGATCTATGTTTTATTTCAGATTATAATTACACTTGCATTTAATTTACAATTACAGATGATAACTTGGGAGACGCTAATAGTCCTAGGTTTATTTTCATATTTTTTAATACATTTTCACAATTTATTTGGAAAAGTCGATGTTAGCAAGTTATGATTATTAATTACAAAACACAGTTTGAAGAATATAATCTACATAAAACATTGAGATTATTATCATCACCTATCACTTGCAGAACACGAACAATGAAGTAGAGATTTAAAAAACAATTACATGTAACTCAATATAGAATAATCGTAGCTGCATGTAATATTACCAATAATTATGAGACAAATTAAAAATTTAAAGTAAAATTTAAAGATACTATATATATATAGCCTGCATTCTATTACCTCATATACAACATATTTTACATATTTTTAAAAGATGAAAAACTTTATATTAACAAACTGTATACTGACAAATCAGCAAACTATATTTTCACAAAAATACTATTAATTTATGACTGAATTTATATCTCGGTACGAAAATTTTGATTAATTTTGAATATTATTAAAAATTGAATATCATAAATTATACCAAAATAAAAATAGGATAAAACAATATATAACCTTCAGCCGTTGACTGGGTCAGACATATGATTTAAATCTATGAATACATAATAAAATGCGCATTTCGGTAATAAAATCCACCAGTCATATAATTTCTATGTGACATATAACCGCGGTAATTATTTACTCTGTATAATCGATTTCTGGTTGTACCTGTTTCTTCTTGTATCTTGTCTACAATTCCTTGCACTGTATTTTCCGAATCAGCGGTTAAAAGTAACGGACACCCTTGCGCTATTATTGCTTTTACAGATTCCAACAATGTTTCTATACAAAGACATTCTGTTTCAAATATTATGATCACATTCGGTTTTTCATATGAATCTAAGCATACATAATCGTGGTACGGTTCTGATACGCTTTTAACAAAAAGTCTTTGATTATGGTTACGACATACTGCACAAACAAACCCTAGATCGTTCGATTCAATTATTGGCATTTTTATAAATACAATACATATTTCCTTTATACTTTTAAATAAATGGAAGAAAATATGCCATATTTGCACCATATCTGTTTTATTTATATCTATAACATGAATGACATATTTAGATGAATTTCTTGCAAGAGTTAATAAATTTGATTCCTGCAGCGCGTAGTATAATGTCAGCGGGCCGGATGCATAATCAGAATATATACGATACTGTATTGGCCAGTATGTAATTGGCATACAAGAATTGTCGTGACACTCACGACGAGATATACATTGATAGTTGTTAATAAATGTAATAGTGTCATGATATGGTTTTGTACCAGGAAATTTGGTGAACTTACATCTTTCTAAACTCATAAGCTGTTCCATACAGCCGGTTAGACACATGATATTCGTGTTCAGTAATAGCAGCAAATCTTTGCAGCACATCTCATGTAACTGACGAAATGCTATTTGGTGATCATCACAAAAATTTACTGAATAGCAAATCTTGCAAGGCCATATATTTGCCTGTCGGAAACAGACACAACATGATTTTGCAAACATTATCATCTCTGATTCGTGTTGGGATGCGAAACGTGACAGAGTAAGCAGTATGTGTTGTAAAATTCTTTTTCGTGATTCTATCCATTCTCCCAAACTATCATACCTGACCCACAACGATATGTCCGTTATTATCATTGCTAGAGTTTTGCAGATCTCAGAGTGAGAGTTTCTGTGTATCGCCCGATGCTCCTCGGAACAGAAAGAAATCATATAACACAGATTACACGTTACCAAGACTTCACTGGGCTGTTTGCAAACATGACAAACGTTTGGATTGAAAAACTGATTATATTTGTCCTCTGTGTAAGGTCCATTAAAAGTTAATACTCGCGAGGAATTCATCACGATACGTCTTAGTAATTATCGTTTGAAAGTAGTTTGTTTGTTACCGTTTGTTTGTAATATTTACTTCAAAATAATGCGCGAAACTCGTCAAGTTACGGAATGTAACAGAAATATGTATATACATTATATATATAGATGTTTGACCGGTAACAATAAGAACATAACATTAACAGAACAATAATAACAATGTACAAGTATGTTTGTATGTGTCGAAAAAGTTGTTGACAAGATAATTTGTAACTGTTGAGATAACGAACTAGAAATATTCGTTAGTGGAGAGAAACAAGATGACAAATACATTACATTATACATCACTTATGAATATCTACTTTAAAATACTCAAAACAAAATACAAAGTTTACCAAGAGAGTTATTATACTTTATTAAATTTGTCGTAAGTTCCAACAAAATTTTAAGTATTTCGGTAATGTATTATAAAGGTCACTGTAAGTTAACTAAAAGAATGTTCTTTGATCCGAATTTGAATTGATTATCTATGTTTGGACCATGCTATATCCTATTTTTTACATTTCGGACATCGTGCGGAACGCTATTATCGTAATATTCATACATTTTACTTCAATACAGATTTAACTTATTTTCTAAGATGCATTTTAAAACATTGTCAATCGTCTGATAAGAAAATTTGTTGTTGAAATTTTTTACTAATTCCTAGAATTTGAATATTTTTATATGATCATTGGCTATATTCAGAAATATATTGACAACATTCTCAAAACGTATTGAAACAAAAGTATATATATGCTACTCTTTGACAAAGGGAGGAGAGAGAAACATAATATATATCTACTAATAAATATATATTATTAAATAATTTATATTTCATTGGCGACTATAACTAAACTTTTATTTAATTTACAATAATAGATAAAGACTCGAACGACACTAATAGATCCAGGTTTACGTTTGTATATTTTTTAATATATTTTGACATTTTAAAACGTAAAAGTGTCGCAAAAGATGCAATCAGTTACGAGTATTGATTACAAGGTAGAACATAAAAAATATAAAATATAAAATGTTTTACCATTCTACATAAAATGTTTTACAATTATTCTTATCACTTATCAGTTACAGAGCACGATGAGTGCAAAGAAGAAGATAAGATTTATAAAAAAATTTCATACCTTCCTTTATGCTTGTAAAGTAATGTAAGAAAATATGCCAAATTTTCAAAGATATTACATCTATTCTATTTGCGTCTATAAGATGAATAATGTATTTACGTGCCTTGTGTGAAACAGATAATAAATTTGATTTGTTCAACGCGTAGTATAGTGTCAGCGGGCTGGATACAGCCTCAGAATATACATATTATTTTAACGACGATTGTCTTAAGTAAGAGTTGAATTAGGATCATTTAAAATTTTACTACGAATAAGTGGATCCTTGCTGCGTACATAGCCATTAATAAATGTAATATTGTCATGAAAATATGTCTTTGTAGAAAAATTAGCGAACTTGTTCCGTTTTGAAACAGAGACTATGTGTTGCATATAATATTAACTATATTTATTTTCAGTAATAGCAGCAACTCATTGCAGTACTTTCCATGTTTTTCCATACACTAAATTCTATTTGGTGATCATCACAATAATTGGCTGAATAATAAGTATTGCAAGGACTTATGTTTTTCTGTCGGTAACACACATAACACAACTTTGCACATAATATCATCTCCTCTTCGTACTGGTATACGCAACGTGACAGGCTAGGCTGTATTCGTTGTAAAATGTCGTCCTGTGATGCTAATCAATGTTCCAAGCTAGGATACGTATTTGTAAAAAATATGTCTATTATTATTCTTGCCACAGCTATGCAGATTTCCGAGTGTGAGTTTCTATGCATCTCCTTATGCTTTTCGGTACAGTAAGAAATCATATTGCAGAGATTACACGTTATCAAGTTTCCGCTGAATTTGCAAGCATGACAAACGTTTGGGTTGAAAAACTGGTTGTATTTTTCCCCTATATATGATCCACTAAACTTTAGTACGCTATTCATCGCTATTAATTATAGATTTAGCAAATAGATTTGGCAAATAGATTTGGCAAATCATCGCACTTCTCATGTAACTGATTAAATTCTATTTCGTGATCATCACAAAAATTGGCTGAATAGCAAATCTTGCAAGGCCATATATTTGCCTGTCGGAAACAGACATAACACGATTTTGCAAACATTATCATCTCTGATTCGTGTTGGGATGCGAAACGTGACAGAGTAAGCAGTATGTGTTGTAAAATTCTTTTCCGTGATTCTATCCAATCTCCCAAACTATCATACCTGACCCACAACGATATGTCCGTTATTATCATTGCTAGAGTTTTGCAGGTCTCAAATCTTATTAATTATTATTTATATAAATTCTGTTTGAAATATTTAATAAATAACATGGATATTTTTGAAAAATATAACGGAGCTTTTATTTAAACAAGTGATTAAGTTATATATAAATATATTATTTTAATAAAAGATACACAAATCAAAGTCAATTGAGGAATATTAACTGCTATATAATTCTATATATTTACATATAAATTAGGCATATGTATATATAAGGTAATTACATGAATACTTAGGAACATAGATAGTTTATATATTTCTCAGGCTCCCTGATTTGATTATCACTATTAGAATAATAACAAAGATATTTATCAAGATTGCAACAAAAAAATATCAAAATTTGGAAAAGTTCTTATTCTACATAATTATCATATATAATTACATGTAATGAGAGATTATATATATGTATACAATATACAGGGTGATACAATATACAACGCGTTTTCCTCGTTGCTAAGGGACTGGGCCATCTAGTTTATCATGCCGATGCTACAGCGCGTATAGCATTCGTCTCACCGCAGCGCGTGTGCTGATTGGCCAGTGGGCTGCTGCTCGGTTTTTCGTTGTTAATATCTCAAAACTTTACATGGTTATTTAAAAAAAGACACCGATTTCATTACTCATCCCGACCTAATCTAACTATATATTAGCTCTGGTATGTTACGAGTCAAACACCCTGTATAATATTTAACATTCTTTGTTTGACTTTGGTTTGCATGTGTTTTATTTGATGTATTTAAAATAATATATTTATATATAAATTATTATTTCTTTAAATAAGAGCTCTGTTATTTTGTAGAAAAGAACGAATTAGATTAGTTTCAAATTTTAATCCAAATATTACTATCAATAATCTAAACAGAAAATATTTTAAAGCAAATTACTCAATACGCAAAAACTCAAAAAGCTTTTAGCTTAATCTTTTGTTGAACATCTAAAAGTAATGATAAAATCATTAACTCAATAATATATATTATATCAATATTTAATTAAATCAGATATTTAATGTTGTTCCCTCATTTCAACGTTTGCTCATAAATATATTATAATATTCTGTGAATATTATAAAAAGATATATTATGTAAGTCCTAAGGACATTTTTAAAATCATTACGATAATCGCGTCCCGCACGATCTCAGAAATGTAAAGAATAAGATGTAGCATAGTCAAAACAAGGATAGGTACTCGATTCAAATTCGAATCAAAGAACGTTCTTTTAGTTAACTTACAGTGACCTTTATAATAAATTATCGAAATACTTAAAGTTTTGTTCAAAATTACAGCAAATTTAATAAAGTTTCTTGGTAAATTTTGTATTTGGTTTTGAGTTTTTTAAAGTAGATATTCATAAGTGATGTATAATGTAATGTATTTGTCATATTGTTTCTCTCCACTAATGAATATTTCTAGTTCGCCATCTTAACAATTACAAATTATCTTGTCAACAACTTTTTCGATAGATACAAACATACTTGTACATTGTTATTAATGTTCTGTTAATGTTATGTTCTTATTGTTACCGGTCAAACATCTATATATAATCCATATATATATTTCTGTTACATTCCGTAACTTGACGAGTTTCGCGCATTATTTTGAAGTAAATATTACAAACAAACGGTAACAAACAAACTACTTACAAACGATAATTACTAAGACGTATCGTGATGAATTTCCCGCGAGTATCAACTTTTAATGGACCTTACACAGAAGACAAATATAATCAGTTTTTCAATCCAAACGTTTGTCATGTTTGCAAACAGCCCAGTGAAGTCTTGGTAACGTGTAATCAGTGTTATATGATTTCTTTCTGTTCCGAGGAGCATTGGGCGATACACAGAAACTTACACTCTGAGACCTGCAAAACTCTAGCAATGATAATAACGGACATATCGTTGTGGGTCAGGTATGATAGTTTGGGAGATTGGATAGAATCACGGAAAAGAATTGTACAACACATACTGCTTACTCTGTCACGTTTCGCATCCCAACACGAATCAGAGATGATAATGTTTGCAAAATCGTATTGTGTCTGTTTCCGACAGGCAAATATATGGCCTTGCAAGATTTGCTATTCAGCCAATTTTTGTGATGATCACGAAATAGAATTTAATCAGTTACATGAGAAGTGCGATGATTTGCTACTATTATTGAACATGAATATCGCCAATATAAACGGCTGGATGGAAACGATTATACGTTTAGAAAGATTTAAGTTCACCAAATTTCCTGGTACAAAACCTTATCATGACACTATTTCATTTATTAACAATTATGTACCTTATCGTAACTGTCTCGACAAATCTTTCTCTTGTATGCTAAATATCTACTGGTCAATAGAGCATTATATATATTCTGATTATGCATCCGGCCCGCTCACATTATACTACGCGTTGCAGGAATCAAATTTATTACCTTTTGCAAGCATTGCATATAAATATATCATTCATGTTATAGATATAAATAAAACAGATATGTTGAAAATGTGGCATATTTTTTTTACATTTCTTTAAAAATATAAAGGAAATGTGTATTGTATTTATAAAATTGCCAAAATTTGAATCGAACGATCAAGGGTTTGGTTGTGCAACATGTCGTAAATATAATCAAAGACTTTTTGTTAAAAGCGTATCAGAACCGTACCACGATTATATATGCTTAGATTCATATGAAAAACCGAATGTGATCATAATATTTGAAACAGAAAGTCTTTGTATAGAAACATTGTTTGAATCTGTAAAAGCA